AAGAGCTTTCGCCGGCGCCGCTCGCCGTCGAAGACGTTGACCCGTTGCGGTTCCGGGTCAGTGACCCGGATCCTCAAACCCGCGAATTGGCCAACTTTATCGGTGATCACCACCGGTACTTTGCCGCCGCCGCCGTTGCGGCCGTAGGGACGTTTCATCCTCACCCGGAATTCCGGCAGAATTTCCACTCGGAAAATCCCATTCACGGGAACCCTCACGATAGCGGCGAATACGGCGACGAGGACGACGAAGAGGGCGATGAAATGGATGGCGACGATGACTCCCACGTTGCGAGACTAAGTAACGCGGAGAACAGAGACGGTTCAGGGGAAGGTTCATCAGCCGGAGCTGGTAAGAAAATCGAACTGGGTTTTTTTTTTGTGGTTAGACATCTAATTCTATGTCGGGGAATCATGTTGTGTTTTTAAGGGGAAAAGTTTCTACTTTTGAGGCGTTAAGACTCAAGAGCATGGTTGTCTGTGAAATTGCTGTGCAGTGACAGTTGCGGATCCAGACAATGCAGTCCTCTACTCGCAGCATTTTAAGACAACAGAAACAAGTTGTTTTTCAAGACACAAGGATGAGATAGCTGGGGGAAACGGGTGTGGTTTCAGTGGCAGGAAAGAATCTTCTTCTTCAAGTAATTCCATGGACTCATTGAGGGCAATTTTATCTGATCCTACTACGTACGTATATTTACAGCTTGATTACCGGTGTTCTTTCTTCGATGCTCAATGCCGGTATTGTGTTCTTGAGATTAAATCCTTTGTTTCTGAGATCTCTTTTGTTAAATAACTGAAGATCATGCCAGCCATCTTTAATCATGTGATGTTATCTTTATGTATCTCTGGTATATGTATTTATGCTATGCAAACATCATGTACTGGAATCACATATGATACTTAAAAAGTGAATAGGATACATTCATTTCCTTATTGAAAAACTCGCATTTTGTTTTAGCTAGTTTGTGTTGTGAGTGATAATTGTCTGACAAGTTACTGGCAGCTTTTCTGTCTAACCTTAGTAAGAAGTAACAATGGCTTTTGCTTCTCTTTTGTTCAAACCCTTGGATTGGTGTTAATCCGTTTGAGTTTTACTACACTCGTATCAAACGTAATTTCCTCTCTGCAACTCCCAGCGGGGCTCTATTGGATGACGCGATGATTTTGCCCTGCGGGCACTCTTTCGGAGCAGGAGGGATAGAACACGTTAAACAGATGGTACCGATTTCTTTCTTACATCACAATGATTTTGTTCTTACATGTGTATAAAGCTTTCTATTGTGATTTTGGTTCTTACATGTGTATAAAGCTTTCTTGTTTGCTTTCTTTTTCGTATTTGACCTTTCTTACATTATGGGTTTCTCAGAAAGCTTGCTGCACTTGTTCACATCCAGTTTCAGAAGACTCGATAACTCCTAATCTAAGTGAGTAAATTGTTCCTCTTCGAGATTTACCGTTTGATAGTCTCGAAGAACTTGTCATTGTACCCCTGAAATCTCTTCTGAGGACAAAGAACTGATGTTTTCATGGAAATTAGCTGCTGTCTGAATCTTCGACTCGAGTGTTTTGTTTTCTCTGATGATTGTTTCAGCCATGCCCAAGACACTGTCGCTGCATTTCTCCTCGTAATTTCTCGTAGGAACAGGGTACTTATCCAGTGGCATAAACCACTTGTCTGATTGGTTCGGATCAGATCTTAACCCATCAGCATTCACACCTTCCAAGTTCGTCTTGGAACCCCCAAGTGCCATACCGAACCGCTCATCCAAGAGGAAACGAGAAGGGTCTGATCAGGTATTTCACATTTCTTTCTGGTTCATCAAGAGTTTCTTTTTTGTCTAATTTCTCTCCTTTTCTTTATCACAGTACAAGCATGCCTTTGGCAAATCAACTTCTACAGATCATCCAAGATGCAGAAGTAATCAGTTCCCATTCTCTGTTGCTGATCGAGTTTTAATAATGGTATATTACTTCTCCCCATCACAATTTGTACAGCAATGGTTAAAGATGTCAAGAGGGTATTAACTGTCAAAGACTATGTGAATCAGGGAAACAAGAGGACGCCCACCCGTTTTGTTGGACAGGTAGCTGTTGTCACTACCCAATGCTTGAACGGCTGGTAAAACTCGCACCCTTCTTCCATAACGAGCAAATTTCTGTCAGCTACTATTCTGATATCGGTCATTTACAGAAGAGTAGTTTTTCTTTCCTTAAGATACAACCGTTATAAAACCTTGTCGAGTGTATTTGTTGTACCTTAAAACTTGTTGTAGGTATGTGGTGAAGACATTGGACAATGCAGAGAGCGTAAAGCTTCAGTACCGTTCACTGGCTAAGGTGCCATAAGATCTGTCAGCCAAGATGACAACAATGAGCAAGACAGTCTCGTACTGGCTCTGAGAAGCTTTGGACCTTCTTTTGTTACACACCAGGAAGAGAGTTTCTGCAGGAAGTTTGCTGCATAAATACTGTACGTTGTATACTGAAACGACTCTTCCTAGTTCCTCGAGCCGAGGCTCGGAATCTTCTCCTCAATACTGACACCAGATTAAGGATGTTTTCTGTGGCAAAACAGACCAACCCTGAAGTGCAGTCTATGGGTTGATCTTTGTTGGATTACTGGATGATGTTCTTCTACAACAGCTTTGTATCTACTCCCATTGTTTTCTGAATAGTTTGATAATGGAATCACCCTTTTTCTTACATGGAATCTTTATAGTTCTCTTTCTGTTACAGAGATGTTCAAAACATCACATTGGGCATATCTGGATTCATTCATGTAGCATGTGTGGTTAAAATACACATAATATCCTAAATCTCACCTGAAAACAAACAATTTTGCTCTTGGGCTCAACATAATGAGTAAGAATCTGATCCAAGAACAGATGGGCAAAAGAAAAAAAAAATTATGGAATGAAAAACTAATGAACATGGTCCTAATCTTACAGATGCACAAACAAGAAAAGCTCTTCTGCTATCTGTCAAACTCACTAACCTAGTACTGCAAAAACTGTCTTATCACTTGAAAAGAAACCAGTCAAAAAGTTAAAGCTTATAACCTCGGTTCAAGTAATGAAGGTCAGGTACATGTTATATTCTCCTTTGACGTTAGAAAATTGCACGTCGAATATATGGAAGCTGCAGCTGCCCTGACGGCTAATTCTTTCTCCGAGCTCAGTGTTTCTGCCGATCTGCTGCACAAGAATTGGATATCGTCAGCAAACCAAAGGTTTACAGTTCAAGAAACAGATCAATGATTTTAAGGTTTATTTATCAAACAATAGCAATGTTCATGCCTCGAGTCCAATGGCATTCCAGGCTGTAAGAAATTTTGTCCAGAACTCAAGCTCAGGTATTGCAGGCCATGGTCACAATGTGACTGCAGTTCTCTTACTTGGATCAACCAACTTTCCTGAATCGCAGATCAACAAACTCAATCCGGATGCCACACTTGCCTTAAACCTTTCGAGACATAAGATCAGAGATCTTACAGATCAAGTTATGTAGAGTAAAAGTAACATACAAGTTGTTTTTCTTCTTCTGAGAGGGCTGATTCCATTTGATTAAACAATGCCGTCCATCTCGCCTTGTGTATGTCAGCTCTTGATGTACTTGAAACTCCGTCCAGCAAATTCGGGTCATTCTCTTGATTAAACGGGAATTCTTTCAGTATCAGGAATGGTAATTCAGTTGAAATGACGGCCCGAACCCTTTTCCTGCTACGACGAAGTGCTGCAAGTACAGAAGACTTTAAGATCATGCAAGCTTGAAATTTCCTGGTTCGAGTAATGATTGATTATAAATGAATTTTGTTACCTGAAAGGCGCCCTTTTATGTCCTGGTGAAGCAATTCCAACCACTGAGAAGCCACTGTGGCAGCTGCGGATCAAAATGAAGATCTTTTAAGTGAAACTCTCATATATGCTAGCAAGGTCGAAAACCATTCTGTCAGGAAATAAAAATCAGACCTTTAACAGTAAGAACATTTGCACAGCTGAAGTCTGCCGACTCTTCTGAGGACAAAGAACTGATGTTTTCATGGAAATTAGCTGCTGTCTGAATCTTCGACTCGAGTGTTTTGTTTTCTCTGATGATTGTTTCAGCCATGCCCAAGACACTGTCGCTGCATTTCTCCTCGTAATTTCTCGTAGGAACAGGGTACTTATCCAGTGGCATAAACCACTTGTCTGATTGGTTCGGATCAGATCTTAACCCATCAGCATTCACACCTTCCAAGTTCGTCTTGGAACCCCCAAGTGCCATACCACTGCACCTATCTGTGGCTCGGTGAAAGTTTCCGGAATCTTTTTTGGACTTTACTAAGTTTTCTATGATGGAAAGTACTTGCCTTTTGTTCCTAACATGGTTTATAATCCCGGGGTTCAACTCGTTGAGCAGCCCACTAGGAGCAGCAAGCTTTGCAAACCTATCGATTTCTTCCTTCCTCGCAATCTCTATCTTCCTCTTCATCGCCTCACTCTTGTTTTCCCTACCTCGTTTTCTTGGAGCCGGTATTCCTCCATGGGAGGACGAGACAAAGCAGCTCGATGCTGCTGAAATCCCGCCATGAGGATTGGAAAGAAAACCGTTCTGTTTCATTGCTTTCCACAACTTCATCGGATCTTTGTCCTCAACCGGAACATTAGAGCTTCCACACTCAGAAAAAGCATCCTTGGACTTTGTGTTACAACGCATCCTGGAGGAACATGCTGATAATTCATCACTAGCGGAGCTGGAGATGGCGTCGGTATTTAGGTCTAATCCAATTCCTTTCTCTGCCTTAAAACCCTTATCGTATCTTTCGAGCAAGAACTGTTTTTCACTACAGTCTGATGCTGAATCATGGGCAACACCAACAGTGATGGTCTCTGCAATACATAAACAAAGACCAACACAGATCAAGCATCAACCACTCATCATTATAAACCCTACATGACAGATGCAAAATCTCCACGCTGTTCTTCTCATCAGACTTGGATTCAATTGTACATGTTTCATGAATTAGAACCCGATAAAACCCTGATATCGATTATGTTCTCAGTGAACAAATCTGCAGAAAATGAGGCACGCTCGAACAATAGAAACGGATAAGGGAAATTACCAGAAGGTAAATTCGGGTCAAGACGTCGGATTTTAGGACAAAAATCTTGTCTTTCTACAAAGTCATCACGGCTTCGCTTCTCGCCCACAAACTAAAGCCGTAAAACCCGAAGTGAAATTCAAAAATAAGAGAACGAGCCAGATCGCTATGTCGAAAGAAAAAAACAGACAAAAATAAAGAACTGACCTTTGAATCGGATCTAGAGATCGAGGAAAACCCTTTGGACACGTCGCCTTGTTCTTCCATGGGGGCTCAAATTGACCAAAACCCAGAATTTGTCTCTGGGATTTTACAAAAAGACAAGAGCCCACAAAATTTCGAGAAAATGGGAGATTTCCGAGACGGGTATTAAAGTCGTCGAAGAAAAGCGATGAGAAAAGGAATCAAGAAAACCCGGTTCTTGTATTTGCCTAGGGTTTTGACAGATCCGCTACTGAATCAGCTTCTGGGCGAAAAAATCCATCTTTTGGTTGGAAAATTTGATTTTGATCCGAGGGAGGGAGAGAGAGAGAGAGAGACGGAGACGAGCGCGCCTAAGGTAGGTGTTGTTTATTAATAATCTGACAGAAATACAAAACAGGAACTGCGTGTGAGAGTGAGTGATTATGTTTTTTTTTTCCTGGGATCTCGAGTTTTTTTTTTAATTCAAATTCAAACAGAATCGTTTTTGGTTTTTGGAGGGAATTGTATTTGTTTGGGCCTTTAAAAGGTTCTTTGTCATTGTAATCGAGTTCATATCTTGGGCCCATAATAATAATAATAATAATAATAATAATAATTCAATCTAGGGCTGAGATTCCGAATCTTAAACAATTAAAGCTTGTTAAAAAAGTAGGGTCATTTCGATCAAAATATTAATACATTTCAAGTAAACCATTTCCGAAATATTTTATATATATAAAAAATATTTTCAATCGATTAGAAAAATAAAAAATAGGAATGGATAAAATACAGACTACAAACCCCGAGCATCAATTGATTCGAATGAATGGCAAATCATCTTGAGATCATAACTTCGTATTTTTTTTAATTTTATTTTAGAAAAGATATATTTGAAAAATTCACTTCAGTTCCATTCTAAAAAATTTTGTTATTATTTTCATATTTCCATATAAATTAAATTATCTCAACTTTAAAATTTTATTCCAACAAAATTTAAATTTAAATCTTTTGTTTGTTCATATAGCAAATTTAGGTGTTGAATGGATGGGGTTTTTATTTTGAGTTTTTTGATTTAGTTTTTGGTTTTTAGATTTTAGTTTTTGGTTTTTGGCTTTTGGTTTTTATAGATTTGTAAATCTAAAAAAATATAGCTTTTAGTTTTTAGTTCAATTCTTTCCATAAAGTGGTTTTCCTGGTTTTTAGGAAAACCAAATTTTAAAAACTTGATTGATAATTTTTTGAATTTTTAAAATCCAAAAACTCCCAAAACCCTTTGTCAATTCAGCACCTTACACTCAAAGGGCAACGGCTATGCCGCCCGCTATGTCAATTTTAGCGTTTTATAAATAAAAAATAAATCCAAAGAGGGAGAAATTATAATTGGGCCTGATTGGGCTTAACGGCTCTCGCATCGATGAAGAACGTAGCGAAATGCGATACTTGGTAGAGGATCTCCAATTCAACTCATCACTTGGTAAGTCACTTAAAATTACTGGATTCGATTAATTGCGTAATTAAAAACTGACTATGGGTATTAACCGGGTTAAAAGCGCAATGAATCTCCTAATTATTAAAAAAAATAGATAGTTATTTATTTACCAGCTTATAAATTGAGGTATTTATGTTACGCATTTTAAATTAATTTATCCTTTTTTATTTGTTTAATTGGGGAGCGATTATCGACCAGATGAAAAAGAAACGATGGATTAATTTTTATATCCATCACATGTTCCTGTCTAGTACATGGTTATGCATGAGCAATACAACAGCATGAACAAATCGAACCCACGAGAAGATGGGCGGCTTCACTGTCAGAAAAGCTACTGACATTTTACTGCTTATGACTCTTTCTCCTCCGACAGCGTCCACGGAAGCCTGCGGATGACACTTTCGTCCACTAGTTTGTAGTGATGAGAGAATTGCCGGTGGATCATCCCGCAGCATTTGTCGATGTGGTTCTTGAATTTGCTGTACAGAGCGGGTACGGTTACAGATAAGATGGTTCCTGCTACACCGTGAAAGAAGTTAAAACCATACTTGCTCTAATACACAGCGTTCAAGCAAAGATGAAGAAGGAGTTTTGAGTAATGGGCTTCGATTACATGCACAGGATTCGCCTCGGATCTCTCTGGATTACTAAAAAAAGAACAGAGACATCTGTTTTTAGGGGCAGAAAGATCAAACCCAGCTTGAAAATTCAAGCATATCATCATCATCTTCATCATGCAGCTTGAAATCATTACTTACTATACCAGGTAACATTAGGATCGAGTGGGTGGGTTTAAGTGCATTCTCTTATGGAAGAGAGGGAACAAGTAAAGTACCGATATAGACAAGCGTGAAGAAAGATACATAGCTACCAACGGACGAAAGAAGCCACAGACAAATCACCACCTGCACATAGGAAAATCGTCAGGACAAAGGACAAGCAAAGACAGATAAATCAACAATGCTCGTGCTTATATTACGGGTTTAGTCAATACAAGCTCACACCATAAGAGCCGAGCATTCTCAAGGTTGTTCCATGAAAAGATGTAAACCAGAAATCGTGTGTTGTTCATGAAAACTTATCCATGCCCAACCTTGAAGAAGAGTTTGAAATCATTGCCAACTGTAATATCGTGAGCCAGGAGAAGAAAGTTATTAAGTTTGGCACGAAATGATGCAGCGGAACTGTTAACCATCTCCTCTGATAGAACAAGCTCTGGTAATGACTTTGGCTGTCTGCTTAAACGAAAATAGGTAGATCAGTCAAATAAGCAGCGGAGAAAAAATATGTTTTCGGTCATTCATGAGAAAGTATATAACAAGATTCGCATGGTGAGAGGCATTGGCACATTGCTTACTTATTCCTAAAAGCAGCAACCCGGGAATGAATAAACGATACTATGACCAAAATCAGTAAGACATCAGACCAAACGGATAAGAACGGCAATCTGGAAAGCTCAAATATAAACCATGCTACTGTCGATACGATGATAACACCCAGAGAATGATGGCGTCTCCTCCATAAGAGCAAGTCAGCAGCTGCGATGATACACAAAACCATACATCAAATCACTTGCAACTTTGCAAGGAGACTATAATATTAGATTCATGCAAAGAACTATTCCATATAAGTCTATCCACAAACAGGATGATCAAACTTATCGTGCACATATACCGATGCATTCAGATTTAAACCAATATAGATCATTAAAGCTCAAGAGATTAAACCAAGAATATGCAGAGAGGCCAGCTTTTAGAACCAAACATCAAGAGGTATTCAGAGTTCAGTCCTAGGTGAAGAATTTCCCAGATTACAGTTCTCGGATTCTTGCTTTTCAAGAAATCCACACTGCAAATGATTATCAGTCAACAGTTTTCTTTAGCAATCGACAATCCTAATCGTTCTCCTTCGAATCTAATCAGTTTCTTATGCTCATATTCAGGCACATGATCTAAAGCTACGAGATGTACCAAAGTGTCTCTTCTTCACTGTAATTGCACATATATCACACAAACCAACACTAAACTTCTGCCATTTTACTGACCCGCCAAAATCAAAACCAAAACCCTAAACGCGCTTTGAATCATATTGAAAATGAAATTGCCCGAATGAAAAGAACTGAAATTCACCTTTGCCACCGCCCATGAACTGATGAACCGTAACTTGCCGACCCAACAATCTGTAATTCGAAGGAGAACCCCCTTCGTTTCTACCATCGCAATCCCCTTCGGCATCACTCGAGCTATCCATCGGATACGAAAGATTCGAAATTCCGGCACCCAATTGCGAGAAAATTCCAGATATTGGGCGGATTTCGATCGAGAATTCGCTTTATCTACAGTCTAGATTTTCTGGATACAGAGACGGGCTTCGGTGGATTTCGGAAAAAAGAAAATCGAACGAGTACGAAAAGGATAGCAATCGGGCATGTAGAAAGACTGCAAATTTAAAAAAAAAAAAAAAAAAAAAAAAGACTGCATCTTTCACTGCAACACCGGATCGAAATTCGTTCAACATTTGAATTCTCTTGGTCAACTTATTAATAAAATATTTCTTTATATATATATAATAATATATTCAAATTAAACTCCATTTAAATTATATTTTAATATAATTTTTAAACATTTTTTTAATTAATAATCTAAATTCTTAAACAAAAACTATGTATATATTCAACCAGTTAACTATATTAAATTATATAATATGATTATATGTAATATAATAATTTTATCTAAATTATATTATTTAGATACTTTTATAATATTTTTTATTTTATTTTTATAAGAGTTGTTAAAATAATTGTTTTGGATTTTTTAAATTGAAATTTTATTTGGATTTATAGATATATAAGATTTTAAATTTTAAAATTTATTTATTTTGAATTGTCTCTATATCAAAAAATATATTTTTCAAATTATATTTTTGTTATCAGAATTGATTTTCAGTTATAAATATATTTAATCGTAATTAATTAAATTGAACTAGTAATCTTTTTAAATGTACAAAAATAAATAATGTAGTAGATTTTTTTAAAACTAACAATTGATCTTGAAAAATAAAAAGGTAAAATTTTGAATAAATCCGCTAAATGTCTGAACCTCAAAAATATTTTGTTCATGGCGCAGGCAGACACAATTGTTTTATAATATATTAATTTTTTTTAAAAAGTTATATATTTATACACTCCCTCTCCCTATACGCTCTCACAGTCTCACTTTCCTCCCTCATTCTCATTCTCTCTCACTCTCGCGCGCGATATAAGTATCACCTTCGCTCTCTCTCGCGCGCGATCTCACCTCGCTCTCTCTCTGTCTCGATCTCTTTCGCCCTCGACCAATCTCTCCCTCTTCTTGAATCCCTTCTTGAATCCGACAATGGCAGGGGGAACAAAGAGGAAAATTGAAATCGCTAAACGTGAAACAAAAGCCCAAAGATCAGTCGCTTTTAGCAAACGCCGTCGGGGTTTGTTCCAAAAAGCGGCAGACCTCTGCCGTATCTCCGGCGCGTCCGTCGCCGTCTTGACTACTCCTCCCTCCGACAAACCCGGCTTCTATTCCTTCGGCCATTCTTCGGTCGATAATGTTGTCGAAGCTTTTCTCTCTGGTCACCGTCCCACCTCTCCGGCTCCGGAGACCCGCGATTACTTCGCGGATACAAAATTAGGGTTAGAGTTTTTGTCGGAGACCCCCGACGATCCTGAGGAGCTGCAATCTTTGATCGATAGAGCTCAGGAACTGAGGAATAATGTCGCGCTTCTTCTTGAAACCAGAGGACAACAAAGCGCTTCCCGGGAATGTAAGAATTATGCCCTTCCTATTCTTAAATCTGATGTCAATTGCTCTGGTTTTGTAGGGAGTCACTACCTCGGAAGCGGTCGTGGGTTCTGTCTAGATGGCGCCGAATTTCCATTCTCAGGAACCGACCAAGGAAACACGACTTCAAGAATCCAAGAAACCGTCAACGATTTCAACTGTGGGTATGGTTCGATCAAGATCGGTCATTCCGATAACGGCGACCAACTACAACAAGGCTCTACATCACCAACTACAACAAGGCTCTCGAGCAGCTCGATCAGGCCATGAACAAGGGCGACGCTTCCACCGTCTTCAAGCTTCAGAGCGCTATCAAATTCAACGGCGGAGGTATGATTTTTTCGTCCTGTTTCGTTGTCTTCCACTTCGATCTCTGTGTTTGATCTCGATCGTGTTATATGGAATCTAATCGGGTCTTTTTGTGTGTGACCATGGTGTGGATGATTTCGTCGTTGAATGGAATATGAGTGTGATAGAGGATTTGACTTCGGAGGAAGAAACTAATGTTGAAGATCCCATGAAAATGGCTGGAGCGATGTAAGCTAAAGCTGCTTATCTTGGTTTAGCCCTTTGTGAAGTTTAATTCAGTGGACCGGGTCTCGAGCATGGAGCCATTTTTGCTGATTGATAGAAAGATATTCAGGCTAAATTCCGACAGAAGTTCCATGATCTGTCTCTTTCTTTGGGCAAACCATGAAAACACCTAGGGTTTTGTTCTCTAAAGCGGCCTGTTTTTGCGTGCAGGTCATGTAAACCACTCGTTTTTCAGGAAAAATCTCGCTCCCGTCAGTGTAAGTTTGGTTTGAGATGGCCTCTTTCTTACCCTTTTTTCGGTTTACTTTGGCTCGCTTGAAGCTTTGATACAAAAAAAATTAATGGTGAAGGTGCGGCTTTGCAAGGCTCAGGATGGGTGGTGAGTGCTTCTCATTGTTTCTTTCTGATTGCTGCTTATATTATACTACCGAATCAAAAATGTGGATTGAGGCTCATTAATTCATAATTCACTTCTTACATTACCCATTTTGTGGTTGATGACTTGCTTGCCTCAATGCTCATCTTGACTGTTTCAGTGGTTTGGAGTTGTTTCTTTCTGATCGCTGCTTACATTATACTACGGAATCGAATCTTTCAATTGTCGATGACTTCCTTGCTCAATGCTCATCTTGATTGTTTCAGGGGCCTGATGTTGTTTCTTTCTGATTGCTGCTTATGTTATACTACCGATTACCGAATAGAATCTTTGGGTTGAGGATCATAAACTCATAAGTCACTTATTGCATTACCCATTTCGCGGTTGATGAATTGTTTGCCCAATGCTCATCTTGATTGTTTGATGTTTCAGTGGCTTGGTGTTGACAAAGAGCTAAAGAAGCTTGTGGTGGATACAACTCCCAATCAGGTGCATATTCAAAAATTCTGCAGTTAATAAACTTAGCCAGGGTATCTCCTTTGCCATGACCATCCTGCATTTTCATGCCATGCCATTCAAGTGTACATGATTCATTTATATTAAGTGGATCACCTGTTGATTTTGTTTCAAAGAAAAAATTGTTTCGGGTGATCGGAGTAATATCCTGAATTTGCTACTGCAGGATCCACTCGGGATAGATGTTTGGGAGCATGCATACGACTTGCAGGTAATGGCTTCGGTTCCTAAGTGTGTTTGTGATAATCTATCACTGCAAACTCACGGAAACAAGTTTAGAAGACCGAACATCCAAATTATGCAAGTGATAAAGGATAGCGAAAGCTGTACCTTACCGATCTCTATAGTCATTTGCGGATTAATAATGTTCTCTCTTGCAGTACAAGAACGTGAGGCTGGATTATCTGAAGAACATATGGAAAGCCATCAACTGGAAAATACGCGAGTGAAGCTTATGAGAAGGAATACCAATGAACGCAAAGGAAGAAACTTGATCTCTGGGTTTGATTTATCGAGGTCTTCAAAAGTTTCCCAGGGTTCTTGTAAGTTTCTGTGATGAAACTGAATAAAGAGGAGCAGTGTTGAAGCTCTGTCTGTAAATCCTGTTGTCTGAACAAATGACATGTTTTTATTTCTTGGCTAAGTTTGAGAGCTTTTGCTTCGTGGAGTTTCGTGGTTTTGTCGTGAGAGAGAAACAAACAATGTCCATTCCACTTGAAAATCGGATATTTATAGGTATCCGGTTTATAGATAACCGATATTTTGATAACTATTCGATTTTTGGATATATAACTATTTAGACAAGTAAATTTTTTTCAAAATACCTCGGGATTCATTGGTACAGTACTCTGCGTCCGATGCATCAGATATTTCGCATGAGATAAATTGAATTTATATATATTATTATGAGATGCTAAAGATAAATTAAATTGATTTATTATCTGGGCCGGAATTAGAAACCCGCTGGGTTATCCAGAGGGTTTTAAGGGTTTTCTTTAGCGTGAAAGGAAAAGCAAACGAGTTTTACGTTGTAGATAGAAACTCGACCACGTATATTTGATCAGATAATAAAAAAAGAAACAAATCGACAAAAAGAGAGACATAGGGTTTTCTTCCTCCTCCGTGAGCACCATAACGAGAAAGATGGCGATGGAGCTGGATGGTGATGGTGATGATGATGCACAGATGGGAAGGAGAAAGGCGAAGAAAGAAATGGTTCTTATAAGGTACAGAATCTCCTCAATTCTAGCAGTGGATCTTGTTGGAAGTTCAATGAATATGAACCCTAGTTTTCTATCTTGGTTTCAATTCGTTTTGATAGATTTGCAATAGCTTTTGTCTGGTGTGGTGGATTTGTTTCCACATTTTGAAATTTCTAGCTCTGAATGCGTGGCAATTTGTCCATGCCATTGATCAACCGGGGCAAGAACAGCATGTAGTGTCCTTATCGAATCAGGGATTCTTATGTTGCCATGCTTCGACTTGGGGGGATTCATGTTGGTTTTGGTGGAATCATAGTCTTGGTTTGAACATAGAAACTTTGGAGAGAAAAAAAAAACATGATACTGTGTAGAAGTTTATGTGTCCGTATCTAAGCGAATGCAGTTGGTATTTTAACTATAAACTGAAAGATGTTGATTTGTGAGGACATTGTATCTTGGTATATGGGAACATATAACGATATCTATCACCAAAACAACATCAATTCTTGAAGAATATGCAATCTCTTATTCATTTGTCCGTGATACAATGACCGATATTAGGGGAGATCCAACGCCCTAGATTTGTTTGCAGTTGTCTAGTCTGACATCTCAGTTGGAAAGTGTAGTGTTTGATAATGTTTGGCGTGTTGTTATAACTAAAATTCCTCAACTGATGTTTAAGAGATATAGCAGCTATGTCGTTTACGGATAGGAATAACTGGTACATTTGAAAATGCTATCTAAACGCCCTAGATTTGCACTTGTCACAACATACATAGCCAACTCTAGGATTGACTGTTAGGACGGTGTTCCTGTCTTTCAATTAATCATGTCCTCCTTAGACCGTTGTATTTTTGTATGTTGTCAAATTAGATCGAAGTTTAAACATTCCACAGTAAGGAATGTAGGAACGTTCTAACTGTAGGAATTTCTACTGTCAAAGCTTAATCTCAGATATCTACAGCATCTCTTTCTGAGGCTTTTAAGTAAATGGTTGCATATCTTCCTCCGCTTCTTTATCATAGGATTTATATTTTCAGTTGTTTCAAATGTTTACAAGCTTGTTTCAGAATTCTTCCGGAATCTTGATACAGAGATACCTTCTTGCGTGTATTAATTCACTAACCATAGGACTGAAATTCTTAAAAGATGAGGGTTAAACCGTGAAATAATGGAATATTACTGAATCAGTGATATCATGTCCTGTTTATACAATGTTCAGCACGCAATATGCACACTGAAACCTCTTCTGTGTGACATCTTTACACAAGCTTCACTCACTGAGAATGCTGTCTTCGAAGTGCTTGCTTTTGCAAGTCGTTTGTTTGATTTTCTTGATCTATTACTTGAGCTCAGACTGTGAAATTATATCAGCAGATGTTCCGCTGCTTGTTATTGGCCTTTTAAAGTACCTGACTCGTGTTTCCTAATTATCTGGGGGTACTTTCCTAATTAATGCCCTTTCCTAAGTAGAATGATTTATATACTACCAAAACAAATACTAATAGAATGGTAGTTTAATAACTCCTTTGAATATCATTGGTAATTAATGCAATTGCGTTAATTTTAGTGGGGAAGATTTTGTAGTGATGATAATTGGTGAATATATATATAAACGTATAAATATTGTGTTGATTAGGATGAGAATTGGGAGAGCCTTTTAGACTTATTTGAAAATCTCTTATATTTCTGTAAGTTTAAGCCAAACTTTTTTTAGTACCACAATTTGATTTTTGTGGTATCAAATTCGTAGCCGTAGAATTGTATGCTATCAAACTGGAAGACAAAAAAAGAATATTCGAATATTCGGTTTTCATATTATTTAGTCTCGAATCTTTTCCCGTGGGTGGCACGCATTGTTCATTTATCATAAAGCTCCTCCATTTGATTCCATAGATTTCGCGCGCTTTTTGGTTATGTCACATGGTAAAAAAATTGAGGCTGTGTTTGATGTGGAAATTTTTTAGCCAGTTACAGCCTCTTTTAAAATTGTTATAACTTTATTGATAATGAGACCACTTCTAAATCTTGTAGTACTTTCTTATTTCCTGTAGTACACAAGGGCTTCTTGCCCCTATATATATCCCTAACCCCACCCTCATTTCTACTCATTTTCTGAGCTCAGCCGTTCCAGATTACCCTAACAAAGGTTCTCTCTTCAGATTCTCCATTCTTTTCAAAATTCAAACTGCTCTTGGTTTTGTTTTTGCGTTGCTGCTGATTAATGGTCTCAAAATTGGGGTTTTACCTTTGTTTATTTGATTCTTCTTGAAGAATTTGGTTTAGATCTCTGATTTTATGAGATATCCACTGGAGAGTTGGGCATTATCATCGTTTTCTAGATCTAATTCGACATTTTCTGATATCACCATCTTTTGGCCCATTTTTTCCTTCCTCAATATCTCTTCATCCATCTCCACTGTATATTGATTCAGAACCTTGGACGATGGCTGAGCGGAGAGCACAGGAAATTATCTGGACGATCCAACCGTCAGTTGTTTCTGACAGAAGTAGGCAAGCTATCATTGGGTTCCTGCAGGGGCTGATCAAAGATCAATTTGGGGTTGAGGTGAGAGATTTTGCTGTTTCCCTCATTTTTCTTGTCTCTTATCATATCTGTGACATAATCTAGGGTTTGTTCTGGTTTCCAATCACTCGTACCTGCTTTTATGTTTGATTTCTCTTCAGACTTTTGAAGCCACAGATGAAGCCCTTGAGGAAATCTGGACCTCCTTTATTCAATATATATTGTCTAATAAAATATATTCCTTGTAGATATCCATTATCGAAATTTGTGAGCGTCGTTCTCCAGGTTTATCACCAAGAAACCAATAGAAGATTAAAGTAATTTCTGTGTGCAGTGTGGGTGTGAGTAATGTCAGAGATAATTTGGTGATATCTGCCTCCGCTAAATGCTGTGTTGTTTCTTCTGGTTTCTGGTGCATTGGGGTTGAGCTCAAGATCATAGATTGTTAAATGAGAAGGACTAACCATTATTTCTGGGCATGGGCATTATTTTTTCTTCAACTGCAACCTCCATATCTGCATGCTTGGAATGGCTGTATCTTCTTTCTTGTTAGGCACATGTATTTATTTAGGGAGAATGTGTTTGTTAATTTATTTACTAATACTATTGCAGACAACAAGTGCACGCTTTATCATATGTATCTGTTTGTCTGATGTACAACTAGTTATGCCTCTGTGAGGTGTTAACAAGTCAAGAGCTCGTTATTCTCCAAGTCTTTTTGGCTTATTTAACAATTAAAACTATTGCCTGCTTGTTTGTTTTGGGATTTCCTGTTTCCTTTATTTCTTTCAAAAGATACTCACCCTGCTCAAAATTTATCTGCAGGCCTTTCCTTTTGGTTCAGTTCCTCTGAAAACATATCTACCTGATGGTGATATTGACTTGACTGTTGTAAGCAAGCCGGGCATGGAAAAGGACTTGGTGATTAACATATATAATGCTCTCGTAAAGCAGGGGGAGAATAACCCTCATTTTCCAATAAGGCATGTCAACTATGTCCAGGCGAAGGTGAGCTTACTTCATCCGAGTTTTTTCACCCTCTTGTTTCAGACCTCTGCAAAGAGTACCAAGGGTTTTTTTCCCGTTCTAACTATTAGCAGCTATCTTTTTCTGGGTGTTTTTGATGATAGGTTAAAGTCATAAAATGCGACGTCATGAATATATCGGTTGATATATCTTTCAATCAAATGGAAGGACTCAGTGCCTTATGTTTCTTTGAACAGGTAAGATTGGTTTCCTTGTAACAGCTGAAATATATGGTAAAATCTCAACACTCAAAAAGCATTTTAGAAAATATCCTAGGGATGGGTTCACTAAATGCGAGGTGAAAATAGTATTTGTGAAACTAATGTGTTGGATTCTTGCATGCTTTAAAATTGGGAAACTGTTTTGGCAATTATATGTGCGCTTCACATTTGGATGTGTTTCGTTATGTAGCATCCAGATTACCTTCAGTTTCCAGCAATCTGTAATTAGTCATTGGCATGTCTTGATCCATAGAAAATAACAAATCCTTTACTGTGTCATAAATATTTGCTATTTACATTGTCATGTTTCCTTTTGTACTATTGTTTATGCTCTTCGACCATACGTTCACATGCATTTCATGCGTGGCAAGATAAACATTGTTGTAACTCCTGAATAAACTTTCACATTGTTTATCTCTCAGGTTGATCAACTTATTGGGAGAAACCATATGTTTAAGCGTAGTATCATTTTGGTTAAAGCGTGGTGCTATTATGAAAGCCGGATTCTTGGTGCACATAGTGGTCTGCTTTCGACATATGCTATAGCAGTGCTGGTCCTAAATATTATTAATCGTTTTCACCAAACACTGGTTGGTCCTCTATCGGTAAGTACTCTTTTTGTAAAACTTCAACATTAAATAAATTTATCGGGATAGTTGCATGAGATTCTTGTTGCCATATCTGATTATGTTTTTCCTGACAGGTCCTCTACAAATTTTTGGACTATTACGGGAAGTTCGACTGGGACAACTGTTGTGTTAGTCTAGATGGTCATGTTCCTATATCTTCTCTGCCAAACATTTTGGGTAAGAAATCTTCTTCTGTAGCAATTTGTACTTGTTTTGCAGGTGATATTGTCATCATTACTGATTACTTTTTTTTTTCGTGTTAATTCTCTTTGCAGTAGAACCTCTAAACAATAACTTATTGCTCGATCGGGAATTTCTTGATTACTGCAAGATGTTGTACTCTATTCCCATTCAAGCCGTTGAACCTGACAAGGACGAATTCTTCACAAAGTTTCTGAACATAATCGATCCTCTTAAAGCAAACAACAACTTAGGCAGAAGTGTGGCGAAAGGTTATCATGTTTCACACCATAGTTCTCTGCTTTGTTCATATTCGGATTGCTTTCACCACTTTTGCATGCAAATACATAAAATTTTGAGGCTCCAATTTTGTGATTCCTTCCCCATTCTGATTGCTTCTCCTTTTGTTCTTTTCAGGCAGTGCGAAAAGGATAAGATTTGCATTTGCTGCTGGAGCTAAGAAGCTGAAAATGGTGTTCACGGAATCAGGTGCGGGCATGGGGACCGGAATCGAAGAGTTCTTTTTTAACTCGATAGAGCGTAACGGAAAGGGCGAACGGATGGACGCTGAGGTGCCTGTAAATGTATTTGGCACCGGAAAGTCGGACGCCTCTAATCTGAGTGGAGACTTCATGCTCCACTACCGAAGTCTCCTGTCTGGTCAGCTGTTCCACGGCTACCAAATGCCTCACATTGTTCAACATGTGCCTCGGCCACCACTGGCTGCTCATTTCCAGGATACGAATGCTTGGAATATCGCTCAGCGGCTCATATCCCGCAATCTGCAAAACGTTCCCCAGGGGCCTCCAATCATTTTTGTCCCGGTACCGTTGTTCGCTTATCATGTTCCGCCTCAACAGACTCCGACCTTTGTTCCTTTCCATAATCTCCAGACTCTCCCTACATCTCGCGGGACCGGCACCTACATCCCCCATCTGGTATGTCCTAACTCAAAAGCATGTACTCAGACAATCACAACCTTGTCGATTTATCTCGTCAAATTTTGAAAACCTCGCGATTAATTATTTGCAGAGCCGGTTTGCTAATAATGGGCATAGGCAGACGCTTCCCGTGACAAGGGATGATGTAAGAACGAACTCTTTGCCAATCGTGCAAGCTGCTTCCAAGCATCCAACTCTAGAGTTCGAGTATCCGCCTAAAGCATTTGATACATGAAACCGAACAGAGAAAATGAGAGATCTCCCATGCCCGAGTCCAAAACTATTACGTGCATGACCATGCAACTCCAAATCGTCTCATATTAAACCAAACACTACGACAATATCTTCTCAATAAACACTAAAATTTCAAGCAAGACATACAATTGCCATCAATACCAGAAATAGGATCAAAGTACTGTTTATCTCGTTCTTAGCTACAAGAAATTTCACTAATCAACTTGCGTGAAAAATTATTCAGCTTCATCTTTTTTTGTGGTTCTTACATGGTGTCAAAGATAGGTTAATAACCAAAATAATCGAACCGAATGGCCAGCCTTGTTGCCAATCATGGGAAAGAGAGCTATTCCTTTAACGAGAGGGCAACCAATTATAGCACCAACTCCACAAATCAATCAATCGGCTCTATTTTCACTTGAAAATCATGATCTCGCTGGTAGTTCCAAGTCTTTACCGCCCCTTCTGGCTCAGCCCTCATCATCTGCAACTGGCCATGCAGCAGAAGCCGAAGAGAAGTAAGCTATAATCTCTCACGATAATGAACCTTAACGAGCTTTCATGTCATTTAGTTATATAACTTCCTTTTGAATCGGTTGCCATTGCCATTTCCATTTCCATTTCCATTTGCAGATCTTCCGAAGAGCGCTACCATCTCGAAGATCACCATGACTTCCCTCCTCTGTTGTGAATGCTCGAGACTCTCAGTTCCCAATCATCCGGTGGTATTTCCCCATAACTTATATATCTCGAAACCAAGAACTTGAAAAAAAAACTCGTCTTTAACTTTATCTTTTCATCGGTTATGATCTAGTGACTGTTTTTCGGATCTCGAAGTTTGGTTTCATCCGAACCCATATTCGTCGTTACTATCTGGTTTCAGACTTTGGATTCATGTTTTATCGGTTAAGGATTATGGATGATTATGCTCATGTGTTTGGTTTTGAAGAAGTTTCATTTCGGATGATTTTGGTGGGAAAAGATGTTTGTGTGAATGTGATCCCTTCCCTCTCGTATGTTCACTTTTGTCAATGTCCTGAGATGAGTAGTTCAACTGAATGTCTTTTTTGCGATTTGTTGACACTTACGAGTTGAGAGTCTCTCTAATGTTTTATATTTATTCTTAAGATTTGTTGTTAAGAGATGGTTGTGCTGATTAAGGTAGAGATATCTAGGTTTAGTCATGCAAAATCTAATGGAATTTAACCCAACTTTTAATTGATTTTTTAAAAAAAAAATTGGAATTTAAACCATATTTATCAAATAATGGAATAAAAATAAATATTGTTTTTAAAAAGTAATTGTAAAAGACAGGATCTGAAAGTTAATTGTGCAACATATCTCATCATTTTACGCCCTGTTACTTTTTTTTCTCACTTTCCTAACTTTCGTTAAAATGTCGTATGGAATTTAACCTAGAATTTAATTGGGTTTTTAAAATTGAATTTCAACCATATATATATAATAATGGAATAAAATAAATATTGGCTTTAAAAGTTACAAATAGAATCTGAAGTTGATTGTAAAACATATCTCATCCTGTTATCTTTTACTGTTCTTTTCCTAATTGAGTTTCTTTAAAAGGTCATATTTTTAACATTTCTTTAAGAGTTTATACGTTAAAAAAGGATAATTTTTATTAGGCGCAGAGAATCTAAAGGGGAAATTTCTATTAATGGATTTTTGCGAATCCAACCACAATTAAAGACATGCATATCTTTTTAGTAAAAAGACAGCAGCAAAACAAATGGAGAGATTGAAAGGAATGCACTAAATTAAGTATTTTCATTTATTTCTAATCACTTGGCTAATAATAATTCTTGTATATTTGGTACTTTCTCTCTCTTATACCTTAATTAGTATTTCACTTTAGGCAAAAAAAAAAATCCTTACATGGGATATGATAATTCTTGAATATTTAGAGGATTTCGACGCATTTTGGATACTACAAACTTTAGGGTTCGAAATCTAATCCCCAGTATGAAACATTATCTTTAAAGTTGTAAAATAGCTAATTTAAACTAAGTCTTAACACCGGTAGGATACTCAACATTTCAAGAATATCCCAACCTAAACCCGAATTATCCGGATCCTAGGTTTCGAAATCCGATTGTAATGTGGAATATTAACTTAAATAACTAATTTAAATTAGCTCTTATTTAGGATTTGAGACAATCCAAACCTAAAACCGTCGGATCCGACTCGGATTTTAGGGTTCGCAATCCGACCCTAAACCCGTCATTTGGAAATGTATTGATTTAGAGTTGTATAGCCAAATATCGGGTATTTCTCCACCCTTTAGTCAAATGCCTAATTGCCTATTGAAAGTGAGCGAACGATTTGATTCGGATTAATTGATTACAATTAATTCAAGTTTAATTATTTCGGATTATAAAAATTTATAACCAAACAGTTAATTAATTTTATTCATTTCATTTCGATCTTGACTATATTATAACCAAATAAAAATTCGGTTCGATTCAAATATAATATTAAAAAAATCAACGATAAAATCTAAACCTATATTTTGATATAAAAACAACAAAATAAAAATATTAAATAAATAAATCTCCTCCTGTTCAATTGTTTTATATGATACAAACTTTAAAAATAACTTTCAGAATAATAAAACAATGATTAAATTATATATATATAAATGGAGAGGAGTAAACCGTTCAGTTAGGATTCGCTTATTTCGGGTTTTGAGAATTTATATTCAAACGGTTATTAAATTTTAATCGTTTGTTTCAGTTTGGATTAGATTATTTCGGGTTTAAAAAAGTCATAACCAATTCGACTCGATTAGGTTAATAACCAAAATAATCGAACCGAATGGCCAGCCTTGTTGCCAATCATCCAATATGTAAAACAAAAATATTCAGAAAATGATGGACCATTCAAACAAAACAGGTTTCAGCCTTTAGTATATGCTTTAAGTTTCTTCTTCTTCCTCTTCTTTAAAAGGCTTTTTCGAGGTCGTGAAGCTTACCTGCACGGCCGGCGAGTCAATACGTTCTTCTCGGAGATTACATACAATGCAGGAAAAGACACATACTCTTTCCTCTCCACGCAAAGACCTCTGCTGAAAAAAATCTACCCGCTGAAATTTCCTAGGCTTTGTTTTTATCGCTGCCCGGTGTCACGGCCTTTTCGATGATTGAAATGCTTAGAATATGGTGTCGGTAGTGAGTTTTCTTCTGGGCGGGGATTTCTCTATCACTTGCTTCTGCATGTCCATGAAAGTAGAACCCTTGTTTGCAAATAATCTCCTGAGATTTATCACTGACAACTCATTGAAATTCCCGACCGCGAGATCAGCCTGAACAAGATCATACCTGCCATTTTTCTTTCGAGGGTTAACAATCTCGGGTTGAGCAACAAAAAGGGGAAGAGAGCTTTATTCTTACGCCGGGTGAGTGCCAATCAAGGCCACGGCCATCATAGTACAGTTGTGAGCTGCAGTTATTCCCCTTGGATCATCCTCAAAGACAACACACTTTGATGGCTTCCTGTCCAACTGCACAAAAATAGACATTTTCCCAAGAACTTAAACCCATTTCCTTACACTGAGACATATTTCTCCAACTTATAAACAGAAACCGAATGCATGAACATGCATGGAATTGTTAATACCTTCACGGCTGCAGAAAGAAATCTATGAGCTATCGATTCCATACCATCTTCCTCGGATACTATTGCCTAAATTTTTTTGACAATGAAGATCATTATAAAAAAAAAAAGTAGAAACCCGTTATGCACACTTATATGACCATTCACCAACTCAATATATTATCTTTTCATCTATCTAAAGTATCATGTCCTCTAGAGTTATAACCTGGAAATACTTTTGAAGTCCCATTCGTTCAAGGGCATCGATCATGTTTCTGCGATCAAGATTTGATACCACGGCACAAGGAATACGAGCAGTTGAGACAGCATCGAGCCAATCTCTGATTCCTTTCGCTGGTTCTGTGAGCTGGAATAATAATAACAACACAATGAATGAACCGACAGGATGTATCCTCTGTGATATTGTAGACAGCAATGAAAAAAGAAAAACCGTACTCTGACAAGATTATCATAATATATCTGCGATAGCCTGTGTCTTAATCTGTCTATTTCTCTTTGTGATGTCTCCTGAAACAGCACCTGAAATATTTTCGCAAACAGTAAGACGAACAAGAAAAGCAAGGACACAAGCATCAAAACCCAGTGGGGGTGGCCTGGTGATGAAGAGGGCACAAAGTGTCTCTCCCCACCAGGGTTCAAATCCCATGGGCCACATATTATAAAAAAAAAGGACGCAAGTATCAACCGTTAATCCGTCACTTTCCCCCACTCTCTTTCTCGAAAGGAAAAAAAGCTTTGCAACCTTCTGTTCAGCTATGAAGCTAGCAGAGAATATAACTAAGTTTAAAAGCTATTTCAGGTGTCACTGTCCCATACAACCTCGTACTCAACAAAGAATATCATCACGAGATGAGGGCTCGAGTTTCAAATGTTAAATATGCTTTTGTTTGGCTAGAAATTCAAGCCCACCAAAATAATAACTCGTAAAAGATTCCCAAACCTTGCCTAACACATGATCAGCTCCTGCATGAAGCATCAGTCTTTGGATGTTATCCTCTTCTAGAATTGCAGTTGCTTTTCCTGCCCAGAGGCCAAACCACCAAACGGTAGTTTTAGCCGACTTTGGTATAAAAACCTTGAAAGTGAGTCTAATAAAGTTTCTAGTGGATAATCTCAATATGAAAGTTCAAAGGACAAGTCACTGACCATAATAAGTAGACTATACTATAAAGCATCCACTCCATGATAGAATGTTAACTAGCCGTTACATATACCTTTGGAAGTGTATAACCTTTCCCCGAAAAGGTTATATTGGCAAGTGCCATATTTGGATAACAGAGGGATAAGACTTACCTTCTTCAGCAGCAAGCTGCTTCCAAGCATCCAACTCTAGAGTTCGAGTATCCGCCTAAAGCATTTGATACATGAAACCGAACAGAGAAAATGAGAGATCTCCCATGCCCGAGTCCAAAACTATTACGTGCATGACCATGCAACTCCAAATCGTCTCATATTAAACCAAACACTACGACAATATCTTCTCAATAAACACTAAAATTTCAAGCAAGACATACAATTGCCATCAATACCAGAAATAGGATCAAAGTACTGTTTATCTCGTTCTTAGCTACAAGAAATTTCACTAATCAACTTGCGTGAAAAATTATTCAGCTTCATCTTTTTTTGTGGTTCTTACATGGTGTCAAAGAGTTTATAGAAGTTACCACGACGTTGTCCCACGAGAAAATAAGTCCATATGCTTCATCCGGTTTCATTGCGTAGCGTATTCTTTGAAGAAAACCCTCTTGCAATCTCTCGTTCCAGAAATCCTGGTTACAAAAAGAATCACAAGTTACATAATGTATGCTCCAAACAGAACTTCTGATTAAAATCACAGATCACCAAAAGCATACATAATTTCTCTCTATAACCTGAAACCAAATTAAAATCTGGTAGAACGTTAAGGAGCACCAGTGTCACTTACCACATCGACTTTAAGAGGACCATCCTGTCTGAAAGTTTCGAACCCTTCTCCATATTCAGCTCCTATCGCCTTGTAATCAACAAGACAGCAATCAAGTAATTTAATTTCCTATCTCAGAGATATAAACCCAAGAAAAAGAAACCCTAACTGTGATCTTTAAATTCACCGAACAACACAACGAGAACAATCAAATACATTATGGGGAAAAAAAAAGTTCCGAGCTTTCGAGTGGAAGTACCTCTTGCATGAAGAGCTTGTTCGGTTTGACGGGAAACCCATTCATGGATCCGTTTTCATCGGACCCAGAAGCGCTCTTCACTACCAGACGTTGCTTCACCACCGTCTCACCTTTCAATGTCTGCAAAAAAACCAGAAAATTTATGATTGTTCCCACGATTTCGAATCAAACCCAAGAAAATTCAGAGCAAGAGAAAGGGAGAGAGACCGACCGAGAAGGCGAGATTTGAAGGGAAGGAAGAACCGGGGAAGCGAAACGACGGGTTGGATGAGATAATCAGAGACGAAGACCGATTAGTGCACGAGCAGTTCATGATTAGGGTTCGTCTTGTTCCTGAGGATCACAAACAGGAAAGATGATCGCATTCGTTTCGCGAAGTTAGAGAAGCTCGTAAATTTCTGAATTGCGCACGGAACTATCCTCGAGTCTTCTTCTGGTTCATACGTTTCGAGCAAAAGGAACTCTAGTGCCTCGTGGTCGTGGAGAGAGAAAGACGTTCTGGTCGCACGGTGTGACACTTGGCGTCGTTTTAAGGGTATAAAAACGTCACGAAGTCCACATCTGACTTATAGAAATGGAGAGAATCAGGTCTTGGTGCATTTTCTCATGGACCTCAAATTCGATTCCTTTTCAGTTATACATACTTAAAAGAATGAAAGAAATCAATCTTCTTATAATCACCTAACAAAATAAGATAAATCCTTTAGATTTCATTTTAATTCAAAAGAGGAAATGAAATACACACTTCAAGTACCCGGATTCCGACAACAACAACCGCTTAGATCATGCATGTTCCAAGATCTTCGGAGAACACCAAACTTATTCTAATACACTGAAACACCCAATAGGAAACCGACACGTGGGGGTTGGGATTCACTTTAGTTGACCCTCCTGCAATTCCTCCTGATCTCACCCTTCTTACCGGTCAACGGGCTGATATCGCCCATCCTGATCATCGCCGCCGTGAAATCGGAGCTAAACGTCGCCGGTTTGGTTCCGTACGTACGGACGATCGAATCCGTCGAGCCGCCATTGAAGAGCTCTTGGTCGGAGTGAAGGAGACCCTTTTGAACCATGAGATTCTTGAAGTAGTTGTTGTCGAATTTCGTCGGCGTCTGAATGTCTAACGGCGCTAGGTTTCCGTCGCCGGATCCATTAGTTCTCGGACAGTTCCGTTGACGTGTTGCGGCGAAGGCACTGTTTATGTTCTTCTCGTTGTAGATTCTTGCTCTGAATGTCGTGCAACGAGCTTGCCCGATCGTGTGCCCACCTGAATAATTAATTCATTAATTAATTTACCGATTTGGTTATTCAATTTAATATTTTGGTAGTTAATTTATAGTTTTTATGTCCGTGTGTGTGACGTTTGCAATGACTTGAAGGTGTTTTCTTCTACTTTTATTATGTGGTATTGTACTTTAAATTCACCTTATACTATTGGATAAATTAAATAATGTGGAAAATATCATTCTTCCATTTTATAACGATAAGAATGCTTTTGAAGAAATTTTATTTTTTAATTATTTTTATTATCGGATATATGATTATGTATCGTTCGGTTCAATTTTTTCAAACCGAGCCGAAATGGTGCGGAAATCTATGTGAACATGTGAAAGTAGGGTATTAAAATCCCTAGTCCGACTAATTTCCCGACACCACAAGAATCTTGGATTTATTTTAAAACAAATCTGAGCCATTCACGTTGTATATTAATTGTAAAATGAATGAATATATGAAGAGGAAACGAACCGGAGAGAGCAACCATGTCTCTGGCGGACAGTCCGACATTACTGAAACTGCTTACGAGTCGACTCAGATTGAAAGTTGGTGCTGGAATGTCTCTGTTAGCTGCGGATTGACTCGCTGTTCTCGAGTCTCTCCTCCCGAGTTTCACTTCCCAACTCGGTCCCCCTAGCTTTTAAATTCCACAAGAAATATCACCCAAAATAAATGAAAACCCTAAGCTAATTGTTGAGATATACGAAGAATATGATGGCTTGGGACACAAGGAAGCCAGAGGCTGATTTCATCGGATGACTCAGTTCGGACATGGAACCCAAGAAACGATGCAGAAACTAAGGGTTAATCCGAATGATGTGAACCTTTCCTTGTGTACCAAGTCACCGTTTCGTATAATACTATAATATATATATATATATATATATATATATGTATATGTATATATGAAGAAGAGGGGACTTACCAGGACAACTCCGTCTCGAGCGGCGATGGCGAGGATGTCGGCGCAAGAGACGATACCGGGACAGGCTTTCTCCGCTGCGGTCTTGATGTTGTCGATGACATCGAAACCTCGAACTGAGTTCCGGTTCGGGCCGGCGTTTTTCTCTCCCGTGAAGCTCGACGTGTCGTCTAGTAGAATCGAGCCGTCACATCCCTTAACATGTTTATATACGTATCTATTGCCTAGTTAGTAAAATCGAGCCACTTTCTTAGTTAGACATGGGTTGGCATTTCGGGTTCGGATTGAATTGGGTTCAATTATTTTCTGTTTGAATTTTTTCGGTTTAAAAAGTTTATACTATTCAGTTTTTATATCGGTTCAATTCGATAAAAATGATTTTTTCAAAGAAATAATCTGTTTTATTTTTATATTCAATTTCGATTCAGTTCATACTCAGTTTTAGAAACTACACACATTCGGTTTTTATATTAAATTTGTTTCGAATTTGATTTTTATCAATAAAATTGTCCATTTTTCTAAAACAATATTCGCTTTCCCGGTTATTTTTTATATTCAATTGGTTTACCTTAGATTTGGTTTTAAAAAGATTATAAATATTGGGTTTTATATATCATATTTGGTTCGGATAAAGTGTTATTTGGTTTGATTCGGTTTTGCTTAACCGAGCCGAAATAATGACCACCCCTAATACACTAGACGAAATGGGTATATACTTACGTTAACAAAGCAATCATGGAAAAAGAGGCGGAGGATGGAGGCACCGATCCTTGCCTCGCGTTTGACGGCGGATTGCATGACGGATCGGACGGTAGGGATGAGTTTCGGACATGAACTCGCGTAGAAATTTGTCGTAAGCTGCCCCTCGACGTTACCGTGAAGTAGTGCTAAGACAAGAACCACAATACAAAGGAAGTGTTTAGTAGCCATGATGATGATGATGATGATGATGATGATGATGATAGTATGAACTATGAGTAAGTGCAAAGGAACAGAGGTATATATAGAGACGTGGAAAGGGGAGGTAAAGTGAGAGACAGGCGACCTAACGCACGCGTTGAAATTTCTATTTCTCTGTAATTGATTTGAAGGGTTTTTAAAAAAATTTAATTATGCATGGGACGGCTTTTTTGTACGTTGGAAAAAAAGAAAACGTAAATAAAAAGCATGATTAGATCGCACCTTGTTTTTGCATGCATGAAAAGCTTTCGTGTCGGCCACAGTTTGAAAATGTTGGTACGTACCCCGTTACAATTCTTATAACAATGACATTTGGAGTTGAAATATTTGTTTTAATTTTCTTTTCTAATCGTTCGATTATTGTATTAACTTCTTTACACTAACTTAGATTACATAACGATTAATTATAAGGATTGAATTTTTTCCGGTGAGAAGCCATGCATGCGTACGTTAAAGGTGCTCTTGAATTAGTTGATTAACATGAAGAATTGATTATACATACATGGGCCGGACCATTCATAAGGTATGAGTCACATGCATCCACATTTTTACTACACTTTTTGATTAAAAATGTTAAATTTCTAAAGAAATTTTTATAAAATTTTAATAAAATTTTTCGAATGTCTAATTGGTCTGATTATAACACATCGATTGGATTAAAATCAGAGATAATAATAAATTGTAATTGTTAAAATAAAAATAACTAAATATGTGATTGAAGTAATAGATTTTGAAATGTTATTAAATATAATAATAGATACAATACTATACCCAATATTCAAATATTGTGTAGCTTATTTGTTTTTAATTTACCTGTATTTCCTTTTTTTCATTTGAATTTTTTTTATAATATATAGATTATTTTTATTGCAATACAACAAGAAGTAAAGATATAGAAATAAAAGTGATTCTGTTCCTTTTTATATTTTTCTAATTTTGCTCCCACATTTTACTTTTCAATAATAACTTTGAAAAAAAATGGAGTTGTATACATCGATATCCTTATCAAGTTTGGAATATTCCAGCACTAAAGGTCGTATATATACAAACATAAATATTCTTATTTCAGTACACCCTATTTACAAGTGTTTATACACATAGTTACAGTACTATACATACACATTATATATATACATAATTGCAAGGAAATGTGATGAATTTATATATAGCGATGTAGAACGTGTTTTACATTGGAAACCCTAATCGTCACAATCACACTGATTGGTAATATTTGGCTGTTAGCGGCGACTGTAATCGAGAAAACTCCAAAACCCTATTGGTAGTATAAAATTAGGTCATTCGTCTCCTTCATCTTCGTCATCGTCGACTATCATCACTCTCGTGGAAATTAAAATAAAATCAAATAAAAAAACCCATAAATATTTTAATATCATCACGAATTATAGTATAATCTCTGTTATTAATTATCTCTCTGAAAAACAATTATCATATAGATTAGACTTACATCTCTTTCGTCTTCACGATTATCATTCTCCACCGTCAAATATTATTATTATTCGTGGAAATTAAAGAACTTCACATTTTAATATTAAAAAAAATATTAAATAGTAGATCGAAAAATACGGATGCCAAACAAAGCCACCTAACGTAGTAAATATCACATGATATGGATTAGACAAATATCCGTTTTCTAACAAACACTTGACAAGAAAAAAAAAACAATTCCAAGTTTTTTTTTTTGGTAACGACAATTCCAAGTTTGTTAAAGATGTCCGAAAATTGTCAAGACTTCGTTGCTCCTCATATTGATTAACGTTTAGAATCTGTAGACCGAATCCTACTTTTCAATTTATGTATTATTATTGTTATTATTATTATTATTATTATTATTATTATTATTATTATTATTATTATTATTATTATTATTATTATTACGGGCATCAGTCACCAACCAAGCCAAATTATAAATTCTACGTACATAAACATTGCCGTGTTTGGACGTTTGTGTATTAACTGTAAAAGGAATACAGATTTCGGTGACCATTTCTCAATTTTAATGAAGAAATAATTCACACAACACTTAGACTATGTATCACTGCAAATGCCTCCGATTTAATCCAGTAATATATAATTCGTAAAATTTGATTGATTATAATTTTTTATAATTGAACTAATCCATTTCGAATTAGATTATAAAATAACTGGAGAAAAAAAATTAAGGGAATTAATTTATTAAAAGGATAATTTGTCTTAGGAAAAAATTCATATAGCTATTCGATTTGTTATCAATCATTGGATTAATATAAAAACTTTAAAATTTTTTTAAAAAAAAAACAAAAAATTTAAGAAATCTCCCAAAAAAATACAAATCAATAGAAAATTAGAAATGATTTCAAAAGTCGTATAGACATTTTAAAGTACTTATAAAATTCATTATTTTAATCGGAATGCGGAAATTTATTTAAATCAGAGTCGTTAACTAATTTATATATTCATATTAGATTTTTTTAAAATATCCACAAAATCTAAATAAAATAACCGAATCGGAAACTAATATAAATATCGAAATGGAAAATGCATCACCCAAAATATAACTAAAAACCTAATATCCACGTAATTAACATACTCAACTAAACGGACAGTTTAAAGGTTAGATGGTCAAAGGCACGTTTGTTGGGTAATTAATGTCGAGACTCTTATCGATATTTACAACTTTTTTTTGTAAAACCGACGAAATTCTTAGTGATGGTTCCATATACAACTGCAATAAAAAAAATATATTTACCAACAAAATAACAAAATAATATTTTAAATGTAATAAAAAAACAGCTTCTAGATATAATTAATGTTACAAAAAGTTAGATTATATGGGGATGGCGATTGATGTAATCAAATAACTATAAATACGGCGTATTAAATTAGAGACTAGGAGAATTTTTTAGGTATTCAAAATATATGATTATATGAATGTGTTAAAAAAAATTAATATTAGTATTTTGTATCCATAAGCATGGCTTGTGTAAAAGGAATATCTCCAATAACATTTGGTTGTTTAAGTCATGATTAATTATTCAAATGTTTTTAGAAATATAACGGATTCTAACAAATCAATTGGTTAATTATAAACTCAATCCTTTGCATCTAACTTTGACCTTTACTATATAATATACACACATACACACCATTTGAATATGGTATTTATTTTTTAATATTGTAGTTGCGAGTAAATTTTAAAATGATATAATTTTGTAACGGGAAATAAAAATTAAAACTTATGCTACAAATTTAGTCATGGTAACATAATTTAGGGTTTCTAAACTATTCCCGTTATGTTATCAAAAATTAGGGTTTCATAAACTAGTCACAAACTTCATTGTTGCCGTGACCTTTCGGATATTTTTTCCCTGACCGACACTGTCATGTTCGGACGTAATTTATTCGTTGCGATTCTCTCAGATTCGTTTGCTGTCGGATTTGATCGCTCGGGAACAGAGATCCAACCACACGGCCGTTTTCTTCTACAGTTATCCGGCGAAAATCCAATCCTTGGTGATAATTTTTATTTTGGATTTTTTACTTTAGTTTTTTGTTTTTGGTTTTTAATTTTTGGATGCTGTAGTATTTGTAAATCCAAAGAGTTTTAGTTTTTTTATTAAAATTTTTTTTCCAAGTTCTTAGAAAAACTAAATTTACAAAATATTGATTGTTAATTTTGTTTTTTTGTTTTTTGATTCTAAAAATTCCTAACTACGTCCATTCAACTCTATAATATATTGTACTCAATAATATATTGTATAGTTGTTTCACCTTTAAGTAAAGGTGAAGAAAATACAATAAATAATGGAACCTATATTGAAAGAGACTCTATTTAAAAACGACGTGCGTACGTAAATAAAAAGCACCATGAGATTTGATTGCTTTCAATATAACAAAACTTGAGCAAATGTGTCCAAAGTCAAGATTATCTAAAAATGTATATAGAAATGAGTGATTGCTTCGAAGACGAATAGTTAAATTGACCTAGTCAAATAATTAGATTACCCATTTAGATTCATGATTAACGGTACAAAGTGACCAGATTCATATTATTAATATTAGACTCTAAAATATATGTATAAATAACAATGTTTTTGTTATGTTTCTAAAATTAGTCTTTTAATTAAGTAAAAAAAAATCATTTTTGGGGTTTGAGATGCGTGCATTCCAACTACACTATTGTATGGAATAATAAATTAATGATAAGAATAGAGTTAATGTTAAAACAACGAGAAGAACAATTAATGTGCAGAAAGATAGAAGAAGATGTCAGAAGGCAGAAGAAGAGGAAAAATGGGACATGTAGAATAGTGGAGAGAGAAGAAAATAATGATTATCCTGATTATTCTTGTTCCAATACTGTAAAGAGAGATTCAGACATTATACATAATTACAATAATAAGAAAAATAGAGGAATAAGAAGAATTATTCTTGATTTGTTTCTCTCAGCAAGATATCTTTGTTTCTAACGTTCGTGTAACAACTTTTCTCATTTTGTTGCTTAAAATCTTCTGTTTGTGTTGGTATCTCTTCTTTGACGACATGTTTCCCAAATTCTGGGTCTTTGTTGTGCTCTCGTTCATCAACATTCCCTTTAAGATCTGGTCAGCGATGTTCGGAAATACCAATCTTGGAGAATATTTTGTTGAGAACAAAAGAACTTGTTGTCTTTATGAAGATATCTATAAGTTGATCTTGACTTCTCGTATATATAGATGTGATTATCCCTTGTGTAATCTTTTTTCGTATGAAATGACAGTCATCCTCGATATGTTTCGTTTTCTCGTGGAACACAGAGTTGGCGGCAATGTGCAAAACTGTTTGGTTGTCGCAATATAGAGGAATTGGTTTTGCTGAGATGATACCAAGTTCACCTAACAATTGCTTCAACCAAATAAACTCATTAGTGGTATTTGTCATGACCCGATATTCTGCCTCTACACTCAATCTTGCAACAACAGTTTGTTTCTTATTTTTCTAGGTGACAAGATTTCCGCCTACAAAGGTACAATATCCGGTGGTAGATTTGCGATCGCTTCTGTCTCCAACCCAGTCTGCATCATAATATCCAATGATTTCTGTGTGCTTGTTACATCGAATCCATAATCCTTTATTATTACAACTTTTGGTGGGTTATGGCTGGGGTATAAATTAGGGGTGTCAATTTGGGTCCGAGGTCCGAAGCCCGGCCCGTCCCAGTCCGAAAAATAGCGGGCTTTGGGCCGAAGTTTCTTGGTCCAAAAAATTTGGACTTTCGGACCGACTCAAATCGGGCTTCGGACTCGAGTCAGGCTGGTCCGAAAGCCCGAAAATTTAAAAAAAAAAGAAAAAAAATAACATTTATAAAGGGACTTCGGGCTTAATTATATAGGCCCAAAAAATCAGGGCGGCCCGAGCCCGAAATTTCTGGGCCGAGTGCGGGGTTAATCACAGGTTGAAATCCCCAGAGAGGAGATATTCATTTGCTTCCACGGATGACATGAGAGTTCCCGTGAGAAATCCTCAATGGCGGGGAGGAATTCTCGACATATGGGAGGATAATTCGTCTGCTTATCTCTCTCTTTTCTGCACGTGCTGTGTCTTCGGGTGGAACATGGAGAGACTCGGGTTTGGCAACATGTACGTTCATGTGGCAACGTTTATCCTCTTCTGTACCGCTCCTTTCTTCATATTCATATTGGCTGCGGTCAATATCGAAGACGAAATGGTGAGGGAGGCACTCGGGTTTGTTGGAATCGTCCTTTGTTTATTCGGGTTGCTCTATGGCGGGTTTTGACACCCTAATGTAAATCGGGTCGGCCTGGTCCGAGCCCATATCGGTTCGAAAGTTTCGGATTCGGACCAACCCGATTTTTTCGGACCTATATAGTTAAGTCCGAAGTCCGATCCTATGTATTCTGGGTTCAGATCGGGCCGATCCGCATAATTCACTTTGTAAATGTTATTTAAAAAAAAATCGGGCCTTCGGATCGGCCCGACTCGAATCCGAAGTCCGATTTGAGTCTAACCTGAAAACTCGATTTTTTCAGGCAAAAAAACTTAGACCCAAAACCTGCTAATTTTTGGACTAGGCCGGACCGCGTTTTGGACCTCGGATCTAAATTGACAGCCCTAGTTATGGTTGGAGAAATTCATATGGAATTCCCACTCTCTTTTTTCTTCTCCTTTTTATTCAAATATCAGAAACTGTCTCATCTCGCTTCGATCTTTGATCAACAACGGATTCAATATTAGTTTCTAAAAATTTTAAAACCTTAATTATTCAAATTAAAAATCATTTATCTATATATTTCGGGTATCCGACTATATACAATGCGGGTGAAAAGTGGACAAATTGATATATAGAGGCGGTCATTCAATTATTTTCTAGTTATAGAAAAACTATAAAACTCCATTTTTATATCAACTTTGTTTCACATCAAAATCGCCCAAAATCGCCATCCCTGTCGATATATATCAAAAACAGAATTTTGGGCCAACTGGTGTTTGGACCGATCAGATGATTGGGCCTAGATTCTGTTCGTGTTCTGCTGCGGGCAGATGATTCACAACTCGACTCCTAATAAGATTATTGTAGGTATATTTATATTTTCACGGGCGGGACAGAGATAAATGATTTATTAATATTTAAAAAATGAAATAATTCTTAATATAATTTGATAAATACCGTACTTTAAATATCGATTTCATTTAATAATTTGCGTATGTTTCCAAAAACTGTTATATAATTGATTTTGTAGATATTATTATAATATAGTAGTTGAACGAAGCAAGCCACATGGACCGGTGTTGCCATCGTCCTTCACATGAATTTTTAACTACAAACAAAAATAAAAGTAGATATTTTGGGACAATTATGGCGGCCAGTGTCAAAGGAAAAAAACTCCTTTTACTCATTAAAAAATTAGAAATCAAATCGATTTCCGTGTTTTTCCAATTCCCGTAGTTTCTCTTTTTTAATCTTGAGGGATTAATTTGTCAAAAGCTTCGAGCTTTAGTCTCCCTCTTCCACTAATGAGAACCCTCTCTTTCTTGCCGGGTTTTCTTCGCAGAAGAATCTTCTCTGTCATTGCTGCCAAATTGGAATTTCGCTACTTGAATATTAGTTCGCGCGAGTTCGGAATTCAAAGTCGTCCAATTGGGTCATTTCCTTTTTCATCTTCCATGAAGAAAGTTGAATACTTTGTTGAATTGGATGTGGTAAGAATCTTCGTCGGCGATTAGAATCTTTCCCTTTAATCTCTTTTCACGACTCTTCTTTACGGTTTATACGCTTTGCCCACTAATGTTTACGCCTCAAAGCATGTGACTTTGATTCGCTTTGCTTGAGAAAAGATCTGGGCAAGAATGAGTTCGTCTTGTGATGGCGAGGAAAAACCTGAGATTGAGGATTCTAATGGCGGAAAAACTAGGGTTTCATACCCTCTTGATGTTTCCACATCTAGAAGAACTCTGCTTAGTGATGGATATCCTAGGAGATGGGCCTTTGGTTCGTCGCCTGATGCTTCTAGCAGGATCAAGCTTCTGAAATTCGGGTCACCATCTGATGAGTTCAAGGGAATTGCAGGGCAGAGGGATGAGGTTTCACGTCCAGCGACATCATGTTCAAGTGGCCACAGTTTCCGGGAAAGAATCAGTGGAGTGTTTTCCCGGAAAATCGAGTGGGTTTCTCTGATGAAGATGTGCAAGAAATGGCTTAGGAACCCAATGAACATTGCCCTTTTCATATGGATCTTAGCTGTTGCAGTCTCTGGTGCAATTCTGTTCATGGTCATGACCGGAATGTTAAACAGGGCTTTGCCCAAGAAATCCGAAAGAGATGCTTGGTTCGAAGTTAACAACCAAATCCTCAACGCCTTGTTCACTCTAATGTGTTTGTACCAACACCCGAAAAGATTCTACCACCTCGTTCTTCTCTGCAGATGGAAAAAACCTGACGATATTACGAGACTGAGGAAGATATACTGCAAGAACGGGACATACAAGCCGCACGAACGGACACACATTATGGTCGTGATCATGTTACTTCATCTGAACTGTTTCGCCCAATACGCTCTCTGTGGTCTGAACTTAGGGTATAAAAGATCAGACAGACCTGCCATTGGAGTAGCCATTTGTATCTCCACTGCAATAGCCGCTCCTGCAATCGCGGGTTTGTACACTGTCCTCAGTCCACTCGGGAAGGAATATGATCTGCATGTGGATGTGGAAAACCGAGTCCAGAGCACAGAAGTTTCGGTTAATCACAGGTTGAAATCCCCAGAGAGGAGATATTCATTTGCTTCCACGGATGACATGAGAGTTCCCGTGAGAAATCCTCAATGGCGGGGAGGAATTCTCGACATATGGGAGGATAATTCGTCTGCTTATCTCTCTCTTTTCTGCACGTGCTGTGTCTTCGGGTGGAACATGGAGAGACTCGGGTTTGGCAACATGTACGTTCATGTGGCAACGTTTATCCTCTTCTGTACCGCTCCTTTCTTCATATTCATATTGGCTGCGGTCAATATCGAAGACGAAATGGTGAGGGAGGCACTCGGGTTTGTTGGAATCGTCCTTTGTTTATTCGGGTTGCTCTATGGCGGGTTTTGGAGAATCCAGATGAGGAAAAGGTTCAGATTACCGGGTTATAACTTCTGTTTGGGTAAACCGATGTTGTCGGATTGTACACTCTGGTTGTTCTGTTGCTGGTGCTCTCTTGCACAGGAAGTCCGAACTGCGAATTCTTACGAGATAGTAGAAGACAAGTTTTGCCATAACCGACCACCATTGGTATCGCCTTTGCCTCGTGAGGACGGGGTTTTTGATCCGAGGTCTGGTCCCGGAATGTTGTCCAGCCCCCCGAGGAGGTTTTGGAAAGAGTCTCGAAGCCCGAATTCTCAGATCATACTGAAGGAACGAGATAAAAACGACAATGCTCTAACTCCACCTTCTCCCGCTTGCATAGACAGAGAAGCTTGCTAATGCCCGAAAGCCTACGTTCATATTTTCAGAAGAAACCATTGCTGGTTTGGTGCTTTCTGAATTCAAGTTTCTCTCTTTGAGTTTTTACCTGCATTTCGTGGTTTCTTTCTTCTGTAAACTCCATTATGCAGATTTATTATTTTAAAATAAATAAATAAATAAATAAATATTCTGCCCGTAAGTTGTAGAACTTAAATCTGCAAATAAAAAAAAAGTGTTTGGCTAAAAAAGGAAAGAGGAGAAAGGCAGGGGAAAGGGAGCTCGAAGAACAAAGCCCGTAAATTCAGAAGTGTGAAAACTTTTCCTTATTTTCATGTACAAGTTCAGTATTTTTACAGACGAGCTTCCACCGTAAATCTAACGGAAGTGAAAGTGAATCTGCATCGCCTCAGAAAATTTCTAAAAGCTATCAAGAGACTAATAAGGTGTTGGCAATGTTCATGTATTACTAATAAATGTATGAATAAAATTTTCAAATAAAAATATAAACTCTTCCAAACTTCTATATTAAACTATGAACTTTTAAATAATTTTCTAAAAAACGTCACAAAATTAAATCTTAAATTATTCTCAAATACCACTATGATATAGTTAGGAAAAATTCGTATCCTTTTTTGAAAATTTTAAAATTTGTATATTTATCAAAGATTTTTTACAAGTTCGATATGTGATACTGTCAGTTAAGACTACAAAGTACACTGATCCGTGGAGTTTTACGGGTATGAACCTAGGAAAGAAAAAGGCACGTACTTGATGAATGATGATGACACAACAAAACCTTCAAGATATACCAAAAGGCCTCTCGAGCTATGGCAATGCAATCTACCTATGCACGAGGCTAAATGTCAAGCTCGGTACACAGAACTAACAAGCCATGCAAAGAGCCTGTTCCACAATCAAAATCAATATCGATCAGGATATGGAATCTGGAATAACCCATCTAGGAAATGGCAAAGGGACTCGACTCAAGAAGTGTTGTCGATGAAATCAAAACACATTCACCAAAAAGTTCCGGGAGACTAACTAGCTTGAGAGATATCCACGTAATTCAGTTTACAAGACGGTATGTTTAACAAGAGAGCCATGCTCACCAAGGCAAGTTAGAACAGAAGAATGGTAATGTCTTCTCAGAGGACAGTTACAATACACGACCCGTAACTGTAAGCGAAAACAATACATACATATGTCCGAAGATCCCAACAAATAACAGTCGATAGGTTTCTGAGCAGAGGTCAATGGAAAAGGTTTTGTTCAGTGAAGGTGAATCAATTAAACTCCTCGAAATCACCGATGCGAAGACTAGTAACATCAGGTGTGATTCACCACCTAAATCATTTGATTAAATCGATTTCCTGCCAAAGTATCGAGCTATCAATTGAAAAATACGAACTCAGGCATGGAACAGAGCTGCATTACCATCCCCATTTCCATCAGTGTTCAGGTTCTATCTTGAGCAATCCACTCAAGCAGATCTTACACTGTTCTCAAGCAAATCACTTCTACAATGCTTGTACAATATCTCGGAGAAGGTAAAAGCCTATGGGCGATGATATCGCGACAACGATCGAAAGAGACATATGAACATACAGCAAGCACCATCACAAACGAAACAAAAACTCATGCTGCACAGATACGATGATATCACAAACTTATCAAAACACATTGATCGAAATCTCAAAGAGTTAACCTATTCCAGAAACTGCAATTTCGTACCAACCAGATCGAAGAACAACTCCAATCACCAAATTGGAAGCAGAATATGAATCGATCAAACGATTTGCCTATCATGAAAGAGAGAGAGAGAGAGAGAGAGAGTACCAGTAGGTGCCGAGGACGGGGGAGAGGAGGAGAGTGGCGCTGATCCAATTCTCGGAGACCTTGTGGTGGATCTTCTCCGGTAGATCCTTCCAGAGACCAGTCATCACCTTCTGTTGAAACGGCGACAGAGCGTACACCACCGCCTTCATCCTCACCGGCTGCTTCCCCATCCTTCTTCGACTATCCAAACAAAGCAAGCTTCAAACAAACCTATATTCTAAAGCTCTCAAAACGCTGCCGTTTTATCAAGCATATTCACAGCTGCGCAAAACGCAAAACGCAAAACTTGAAACTCGAAACGCGAAATCTGGAACTCGAGCGATACTTGGCGGTTTTGGCTGCTGTTATACGCAGGTTGCGATTGGAAATATTAGGCACGCTTCCCCACTTGATATTTGCCTTGAAGTAGAAATGAGTCAAAGCGACTAAGATTTGTTGTGGAATATAGAATGGCAAAACGGAAATAATTATAAAATATAGGGGCCGAGTTACACGGACCGAGACCAAATGTGAGAATATACAAAGAGTATATAAATAAACAAAAAAATGGAACAGACTTTACTATTAAGAGATATATATGTGTTGAATTAAACGATATTTACTTTATTGGGGTGATTTATGTGTCTATCCGATTCGGGTGGTTCTGGAAGGTTCTGGACACGTGTTAGTTGCACGGACGTTTTAGACTATACATCGAATAAGACATTGACACGTCACGCTCGATCAGAAATATCCCGATAATGCTATAAATATCCATCGACTTCCATTGAAGCTTTAGATATTTTTTATATTTGCAAAGCTGTCTTAAAGGGAGAAAGGGGGAGACCTAAGAAAAAAACGCGAAAGCTCCCGAAAGCAAAGACGCGGAAAACAATAAATTGCGAAGAACTCTTACAACTCTCGAAGGGAAACGATCTTTGTCCGTACGAGAGAGTTTTGATTTGAAGAATCTTGATTGATAAGGGAAGAACATTTTCTGGGGTTTCGAAGAATTCTCTCGGTTGCGATTCCAACAGGTAAAGCTCATTTTAACTTTGACTGTTGATTTTCTCCGGGCACGATCGAATTCCATCTTTCTGTTGTGGGTGGTGATTGTTCTTCCTGAAAGTTGAGATCTTTGGGATTGGGTTTTTGTTTTCCTGAAGCTTCGATTTTTGGGTTTCATCGCTTTCGGGGAATTTCCTGATATCTAAATCACTTCATTTCCTGATCTTCTGTAATAAACTCAACCCACTCGCTCTGACTTTCAGACAGTATGTGTCTGTGTCTGTCGTCTTTCCCTGTTAGTCTGCGATTGGATTCTTGTCCTAATCTGAAGTCTGTCACGTCTTGTAGATTGAGCGATTTGGGAGAGTACCATCCAACGGAGATGGCAGTTTATGATCAAAGCAGAAACGTGGTTAAATCTCAAACGGATACTTCGAGGAAGAGGAAATCGAGGAGTAGACGAGACGGCACGACAGTGGCCGAGCGATTGAAGAGGTGGAAAGAGTACAACCAGAACATAGAAGCTTCTACTGAAACCGAGAAACCGAAACGTAAAATGCCCGCAAAAGGGTCGAAGAAAGGGTGTATGAAAGGGAAGGGAGGACCCGAAAACACTCGCTGTAACTTCAGAGGGGTTAGGCAAAGAACTTGGGGAAAATGGGTAGCTGAGATTAGAGAGCCTAATAGGGTTAGTAGACTGTGGCTCGGCACTTTCCCGACAGCTTACGAGGCCGCCATCGCTTACGACGAAGCTGCAAAGGCAATGTACGGACCCTTAGCTCGTCTGAATTTCCCTCGGCCCGCGGTTTCATCTTGTTCTTGCGGCTCTGACATCGCAAGTTGCACGTCGAATGAGTCAGAGGTTAGCATGTTGGAAGATAGTAAGGCGGTTCCTAGTGGTGTCCGTGTGAAGCAGGAGGATGGTGAGGTGGATAATGGTGCGGGTTCGGGTTCGGGTTCGGAAGAGATGAAGAGGGAGGCGAAACGATATATGCCCGAGCATGATTGGCTGAGCAAGATTGAGTTAGAGTATTGGAACAGTGTTCTGAAGGAGAAAGAGAAGGAACGACAGTCAGAGTCACTGACTGTTGCTGATCACGGTTGTCTGGACAAGACAAGAACTGATCAGAACTGCCGGAATGATGTCTCCGCCGAGGAGATGTTTGACGTGGATGAGCTTCTCGGTGACATCAACGAGAACACGCTTCCATGGCCGAGCTTCCAAGAACAAGACATGGTTGCCGATGAATCAGTTATCTCAAAGAGGGACAGAACACAGTCGGACATGGCTAATCCGCTGCGAAGCCAAGATTGGAGACTTCCAAAAGTTGAGGCAGAGGGTTCGGGCATTGATTATGATTTGCCATTGCTTGAAGAGGTGAATCCTCAGGATGGGCACGACATGTTCGAGTTCAGTTTCCTGGAAGATGAACATGTTCTTGATCATGAGAGCTGACTCGTAAGGGGAACGATCCTTGCAATGTAAACGAAGCAGACAACATAGGAAAGAGATGCGACAACTCCAATGGAGAGGAGGACATGAACGTATAAAGATTTCTTTTTTTTTTTCGAGTTTTTTTCTTAATACGTTTATTCATTGTTCCTTTTTACACACGTAGAATATGATAAAATCCAACGTTAACAAGTAATGGGCTTATCAAAACTGATGGGCCATTGCAAGCCTGGGTTTTTCGAAATTGATGGGCCGTTATGGGCCTGGTCTCAAAGTATCGAACGTGAGATTAAATAACCATAGCCCATATGTTTTTTTTTAAGTTTAATAAATAAATAATTAATTTTATTAAATGGAAGGCATACGTTATTTCTAGGGTTGCTAAGGTTGGGCAATCGGTCGGGTTCGGTTTAATCGGGTTCGGTTATTTTAAATTCGGGTTTTTTGAGTTCGGGTTTGGGTCGGATCGGATCGGGTTCGATTTATCCAAACAAAAAACGATACAAAAATTCAAACAATTACCTTATAAAAATAACAAAAACAATATTAAAATACATGTATATTTCGTTTTTTATATACTATGATTATTAAACAATATCATTATAATATTTTTTTCTAATTAGATTTAGAATATATTATATATTAATTGATGATATATAGATGGATAAACGGATATTTTCGGTTATGATTAATTCGGGTTCGGTTTATTCGATTTACGTTTATTTCGGGTTCGGATATTTCGGGTTTGAAATATTCATATCTAATCGGTATATTATTTTAATCGGTTCGATTCGATTTGGATATTTATCGGTCGGGTTCGGTTCGTTTATTCGGATTCGGTTATTTTGTCCACCCCTAGTTATTTCAGCTCTTTGATGTAAAAAAAGTATATTTTATTTAATCTGTAGCTATTAGGATTTCTTGGTTACTATTTTTTAATTACGGGCATCGAGGTCGTAGATTCCACGGAATAAATGATAGATTTTTTCTAACTAATTAAGAATCAAGCCCATGAAGTTTAGGAATTAACGAAATATATATGTGTGTGGTGTGTGTAAATTACTATCCATATCCATTGCAACTCGTGAAATTCATGCCCATTTATGGCTATTAAATTATTGAAAATTTTCCATAAAAATTTGTAAACATTATCTGTAAACAAAATATGTTTATTAACAACAATGGAATCCGAATAGAATACATACAAAACCTTTTAATATATATATATATATATATATGATTTATTTTTGGTATTGGAGTAAATAAGGAGAAAGAATATGGCCCCCAAAAAAAGAGCAAAATGGAAATAAAGCCAAATTGGTCAGTGAAGGTTGTTGAAGCTATTATCTCCTTTCGCAAAAGAGAAGTTTCCCAACAGCCTCTTCTTCTTTTTGAACTTTCAAAAGAGATAATCATATTCCTAGAAAATAAAATTATTTACATTCGTTTCGTTCCAAAAAAAAATTATATATTAATATAAACGTAAAGGCTTTTTAACGGTGATTATGACATTCTATAATTACAGAATATATATATATATATATATATATATGGCTAATTATAATAATGATAGATAAATATATTTCATGCGATAGAGGTTATGCCCTTCAACCAAAAATAATAATAAAATCAATAAGTTACGCCAAAAACCAAATTATTCCTTGTGCAATTGGAACCCAAAGATATTTTGTTCTTAAATATTTACTAAATTAACTAATGTTCATATATTACTAGGAAAACATATATTTATTTATTAAATAAATTTTTTTACATATATTCTAATGTAATATGTTAAAGAACTTGAAATATTTTGATCACCATAAAATATTTAATTCAAATATATAAAACTAGAAAATTATATTGAATTTAATTTAAAAATTGTTTAGATAGTATATGTTTAAACCAAATTATTTGAATTATAATTTAATTTAAACTGAATATAAAATCATCTTCTAAAAATTGATTCAAATAATTTAAAAAAATAAATATTTTAAATAAAAACGAAATTTAAAATGAACCAAAACAATCCAAAAACTCAATATGAACTATTTCCACCTCTCCCATAGATTAAAAGGTTTGAAAGTTCTCTTTCTCTCTCCATTTGATCCAATAAAATTATATAAATTGTCAGACAAAATCTTGGCGTATATTCATTTAACAAAAAAAAAAGAGTATTCTATATTTGATTAATTTGATTATCGGACCAGTAAGATTTTCATGATTTTTTTAAGAACTGTTTCCTAGAAAAAGTCCGCAATAACATCTCTTGTCGGAACTCAAAGTGTTACACATGAGAATCCTACGAAACACAAAAGGTCGTTGGTTGTATTATAATAATAATAATAATAATAATAATAATAATAATAATAATAATAATAATAATAATAATAATAATAATAATAATAATAATAATAATAATAATAATAATAATAATAATAATAATAATAATAATAATAATAATAATAATAATAATAATAATAATAATATCACACTCATCTATTTTGTCTTTATCAATTTCGTTTCTTGAATTCTCCAATTCAACCAATTAATTAAGATATTACATTTTATCGTCCTTTTATATATATATAGAAGTCATAAATCATATATATTTTCAGATGCCATTACCGGATTTTTTTATGAATAAAATTTTAAAATTTTCTGAACGTCACAAAATACCTGGTTTTTATATATATGAATATTGAGTATTGGTATAGCGACGAGATAGCATTTGAATTTAATATACAAAATATGATCTTTTGGATTTAGTTTTATAAGAAATTTAGTTTTTTTGATAAATAATTCGTAAAAATCTGAACAAAAAATAATTACAATCGATCTAAGACTTGAGGTATTATATATATTCGGATCAAATATCCTAAATTTTCGGATGTTTATTTGATAAACATTATACTAGAAAGAAATAAATTTCAAATTTGCTAAACAATCGTTACTTAACCGACTACATTAATTTTTATATAGAGAGAGGTATATATATGTGATATATTTTTTTTGGCTAACCAGATATAATTACCAAGGCCCGAACTAATTCTAGGACCGGGTGTGTCCATACATGTGATATCTTTATATTTGTACTACCATGCAAAACAACAAAAACATGAAATCATCCTATGAAAAATGATAGAACCTCGTTTTCATTATAAACGGTCCATTTCATATAGAATATACTGAAAGTAATTAATTCCATTCCACACACAAACAATGAAGGGATGAATATACATATATAAGTGTATATATATATATATATCCATTACGACGATAACGTAAGGTTATGGGTCCATTCGATTAAATACATTATTATATAAACATAAGGTCTATAATTCGAGTGAAAGCCATTCATGTCACCCACATGATATATTTTATATATATAAAAAAACGTTATGAGAGAGAAAATATTTAAATAAAAAAAAATACAAAGTCGCGGTGCGGCCACCGTTGTGGCTTGGGAGTAATATAAGAGAAAGAAATTAGGGAAAAAAAAAAAAAGGAAAGGATAATCTTCCACCTAAACTAAGTCCAAAAGGAGTTTGCAAGTTGCAGCATCCACTTGCATCCTCCGGCGAGGTCTCACCATCTCCCACCTTCCTCAAAATTCCCGTCTTTCTCTCTCTATATATATATGCGGCATATATATATATACATACACACATGTGCGTACATGTACATATAAATACACAACCATAACTATGTAGGGTTGGCTAATTTCGATTTTATTATTATCAAATTCATTGTTAATTATATATATATATATATATATATATATATATATATATATATATATATATATATATATATGTTTATATTTT